TAAACCCCATAAGCCCTAAACCCGAACTCCAGCCATGCAGCCCCCAAATCTTGTTAGTCGGATCGCTCCCACCCCGAGAATCTTGGAACAAAGCTCTGCCTTTATTGCGATTGGAGGTTTTGGCTTGGGGGTTAAGTGGGGAGCCGCAGTTTTGAGCTCAGGATTCAGGGCTTTGGGTTCGGGACTTTGATACGTGCTTTCACATTTTTGGCTTTACAGCTCCCCAAACTTGAGATTCAAATCCAAGTGCCGTGCATCAGCTCCCCACCATCCTCGGCGAGCCCTGGAAACAACGCTGAAGGCCTGTCGGCTGAAAAGGGACCCTAACTGGGGATATGATATAATACTTATAAGTCTATAAAATAACAATTTACTAAGTCCGGGGGCTTGTGTATGCTTTTGTTGTGTTTGGGGTTTTTGTGCCTGGGCACGAAGAAAAAGGTAAAGCAACGATGGCGCGCCAGGAAATCCTGCACCTACAGCGCCGAACCACCAACTCAAAAAGAGCAAAACACAAAAACCCTGCAAATACTACAATAACTAGAATCCTAAAATCTGAACCGATCCACCCCCTCAAACATGGAAGCCAACGGGCACCCTGAAGCAGAACCCGAAATCCTTCGATGTACTGACAACAGAAAACCCGAGCCGGAAAACACCAATCGCAAAGTCTACGTTGAATAATCCGAAGACCTGATACCAACGTCCTGTTTGAACTGCGCTTCGGCGCCGGGACTCCTACCTGCCTATGCATACATTACATTACATTACATTACATTACATTACATTACATTACATTACATTACATTACATTACATTACATTACATTACATTAATACATACATGACATACATACATACATACATACATACATACATACATACATACATACATACATACATACATGCATACACACATACATACATAAATTGATTGCATACAATGCATACATTGCATACATACGTGCATATAACTACGAATATACATGTGAATACATACATACAGCTACTCTGTACGCTGAGCTTTTGTAGGGTGATTTGCCCTGTCATGCGTGCAATTCGAGTATCTAGCATTGCTTTTCTGCGACCCAAGTCGGAAAGATCGGTTGAGCCCGGTCTGTAGCTGTTGTATCTAAGTGGATCTGGAAGTGAGGTTTTGTCCGGCAAGCTCAAGCCTTCTGGCATCGAGCAGACAGTAATCTGTCGGACAGCCCTAACAGCCCAAAACCCAAAACATTGAAATGTTCACACACCGAATCTCGCACCTGGACACTTCTTCGAAAGCCCAAGATCACACGACCTGTAGCCCTGAGACGTGAACCCCAAAAGCTCCGAGCCTCAAACCCCCAAACCCACCTTACAAAACCTAAACCTTGAAGCCCAAGACCCTGAAACAGCGAAGCGTAGGCCACTGAGCGCTTAACCTGCAACCTAGTACCAGCCCTGGGTTCCAAAGACAACGCATACAACCCACAGCCAAAGGAGTGAATCCCCCAAACCCCTAAACCCCAGTAATCAAAAGCTGAACCCCAATATACTAAACTAAGCCAGCCCTTCTCGCCCGCCTGCGCCCAATTGCTCGCCTCTCCCAGAGACGAAGCCTCAATGAAAATCAAGCTTCTGTATGTTATGGCTTCCCCTTTGCCGGAGGAGTTGGGCCGTCTTGGACATGGGTAGTTCTCTAAGCTAGGGTAACCAAAATAGTACAACACCCTTATGAAAAAAAGGGCCCTTACTGTAAACAAAACTATAATTTAAAACGTTCCATATGAAGTGATCGCACATGTCATCGGCAAACCACGCGAGCAACACCATCGACACGCCTTGAGACCTGACAACGCGCACCCCACACACCATCCATTTTCCTCATGCTGTGTATGCCTTCTGACACCTAGAGCGCAGGCTGCGAATCAGGCTTCTCGGTGTTTGGCTAGGGTTTTGTGGTTCAGACTTTTGGGGTTTGGGCTTGAATCTTGCGGGGTTCAGGGTTTGGAGTTGAGGCTTTGGGTCTTGGGACCTGCGAATCCGAAAGAGGCGACAGAGCTACAGGGGAGCATGTAATCTGACAGTCACCCGCTGAAGACCTGACCAAGTCAAGCTCTCAGCTCCCCCATCGATTCTTAGAAAGCTGAAGCTAATATATCTAGATCCGACGCACCATCTCCGATTCTCTTAATTAGATCCAAAATTTAAAAGGATCCTTATTCAAAGAACCCCTCCCACCACATAAGACCGAATCCAGCCCAGTCCTCCCAACGCCCCCCAAACAGCTCCGAAGCACCCAGAGCCCTAGAAGAACCACTTAGCGCTGGTCTGGCCGCGTGAGACCTCGCCTGCCTGACAGGGGGTTTCGGGTTCAAAGAGCTGGAGGTTGAAATGAAGTTTGGAGACTGGAATGTTGGATGATTTAGGATGAAATGAACCGAGACTGATGAAGCGGGTTGCGGCGCATTGCACAGCACGGTGTGAAGTTTCCTGGGCTACGTTTCAGGTATCACCATGGAAACTCTTGCCCGCTTCCACTCTGCATTGCCGCTGAGATACCTGATACCAGTACGGCCAAGAGATGCTCTTTGCATGTATAGCCTCCTCCTGCCGTTCCCTCTAAACGTCCCCTCTGAAGGTATTTTGCCTGCAAGATACCCCAAAACCAGACTACTCTGATTTTCAACCTACAAAAACCATTGTCTGACCGCTAAGGCCCCTACGCTTAAGAGCCCCGGACACAAAGCTACATGTTAGCCTATGCCGCACTCTGAGCATAACCCACAGAACCCTGAATGGACCTCATAACCCTTCGAGAACCCTCACGGGACCTCCGAACCCTCCTGCAACCTCATAGAGCCCCCCTAAACCCTAAACCCCAAAATCCTAAAGCCAGGCAGTTCCTAGCACCTCTCTAGGGCTCCTGATTGAAACATCCTGGGCTGCCAGACGAAGCGAGCGACGGTGCGGGGCGGACGCTCCGAGACACGCGCTGATGGCCTCGAGTATCCTCAGTCACACATTAGTTCGGGCTTTGGGCTTAGGGCCGGCTGAGGGTTTTGGGTTTCAGGGTTCAAGGTTTAGGGTGTAGAGGTTTAGGCTTTAAGGTTTAGGGTCATACATCAGCATGACACAGACAAAGAGCATAATAGCGATAATAACACGAATAAGAATAACATTAAGAATCATGATGATCGTAGTTGCCATACATAATAAGACGAGAATAGAATAACATGGTAGTAACAGTTGCAGTTCCGACAATCATGAAGTCTCACTAAGCTGCAACAAGCTGTAACAACAAGAACTAATGACGATGGCAACAACGAGATAACAACATTCAAACAACCATAACTAATAGTGGCAGACACCCTTGCATTTCCAGTAGAACTACTATACAAGTAGTCCGAATGGATTCAAAACAAGACAGCGACATGTAAAGGCAAGCTCCACAATCCGAGTTCTCGAGCAGTGATCTTAAATGGGGGAGCGCTACAGTGTTGGTTTCGGGTGGGTTCCCTAAACCCTAGAAGCCCTAACCCTAAACTACGTTAAACTTGCCTTTTACAGCCTGACAAGGGGGTTCAGTGCCGAGGGCTTCAGCGTTGGGTTGAAGGATCCCATGGTCCGCAGAACATGTCCAAAGACTGCAGATGTCTTGTCGGGGCCTGAATGCTTGGAAGCGGGCTTTGGGGGTGCTTTATATAGCTCGAACAATAAACCCCTGAGGAATAGTACAGTATGAGTAATTGTTGAGGCTTCTAAGAAATTCTAAAGCATCCTGCTACACAGTGGCAGAAGATGACGTGCCTTCTGTGCGTTGCCCTCTTGTGCAAGCTTCTTCGGGGGGCTGGTTGAGAGGAGATAGGCTCCAAACCTCCCCTAAAACCTAAACCCGAAACCCCAAACTCTAAACCCTAATAGAAAGTCTGAATCTGATGAACCTTTGAGAATTTCCAGGGCTGGGGCCATACTTCCTCAACAGCTCATCAAGCGGTGCTCCCCTCAGCTGTGTTGCCTGAGTTTCTAGGGTTCTGGGAGATAAACGGCTCAGGGCTCCGGACTGGGTTTGGGGGTTGCTGGCTTCGGGGCGAAGGCCCGCAACATAAGCTTCAAGATCCTCGGTCCCTCCCTTGCTGCCTCCTCTCGAAAAGCAAACACAAATATTCGTCCGAATATTCTCCAGTCCATATATAGTCACTACACATATAGCTACACAACTTCGTTCTGCTGGCATACTTCTGTGCAAACACCAAGATGTAAGTGCTTGCGTGTCTTCGCTTAGACCTGCACACATGTTTGCAGATAAATGTTCACACAGTGACATACACTTACAGGTCCAGGCAACGAGAGTCAAGCACTGCGTTCTCAAGGCTGGTCCAAAATCCGAAGCCTATCTTCGCGACTACGTCTCAACCAGGCACATTCCTTGCGTTTTCAGAGTGCTACCGGTGGACTGTACACAGTCAATCCGGGATTGGGGCGAGATGTCCACTGAGAACCAAAGGGCTTGTTCCTTACAATCACAGACGCAAGTGATGGTGGATATCCACACGCCCGGACCGGCCAAGCAACCCGCAGAGAAGTATTTCAGTGGACGAGTTCGCCTGACTGCTCCAGGAAACAAATGTGTTCAAGGGTCAAATTGCCGAAGCTGCTGTACACTTCGATGCCCCCGGGAAGGATTCTGCACCCTGACTCCTGCGAGAAGACTTGCCCCGATCATGAGCATCATCTTGTCCATGAAGACCAGCAGAACGTCTCAAAGCTTACCGACAGTTCAACTGTCTGACTATATTGCATCATGTCTATTGGAGACGACCTCAACTGGGATGAATGCATAAGTTGTGAACCAGCACATGGTCGGGGCTAGACGGCATCACTCTGCGTGGGTGACATGCTAAGACTTGTGATGCGCAGTAGTCTTTCAGCGAGACTTTCCGCTGCTGGCTTTTCGTCGCTTCGCAAACTCAATCCAGCGCTGGATGACAGGGTGCATTAACAACTTTTGGAGGCTGTTGTACTCTATAGCTAGCACTTCGTTGCTTGCGATGCTGTGCACCGTGTTGTGGCACTGCCGGCAAATCATGAGACCATAGGAGTTCAAGAAGGATCTGGTTGGCTCACCTTCAACACCATTGGGCAATCGCTTACCCAGATAGGTCGGATGCTTGTCCTTCGGGATCAAGTGGTGGAAAGTGAGTTTCAAGTCCCTCTCGCACATCTCGCACTCACCCTCCCCGGCATCGCCCTCGTCTGCCACTTCTGTCAGAGCCCGAACTTCCTCTTGGTTCGCCTCCTGGGGCTTTCCATACCTGCAGACTCTAAAGCCTACAAACAGTGGGTTATGGCGCATAATGACAGGGTAGACTGTAGTGCAAACCTTAAGACCACTAGACCACTTCTATACCAAAGGCACTCGATGAAGATCAGCTTCAAGCGTCCACTGGGCAGAATGTCATCCACTACAGCTGGGTGCCACTCCTGATCTTCGGGGAGGAAAGCCCACACAGGATCGCCAACTTCGGACCCCTTCTGCCTTACTCGCAGAAGCCCGTGCTTAGCGAGTTGAACGGCTCCCTTCTGAGCCAAAGCTCCCAAACTTTCATCTTCACCTAGGCATGTAGCAATGCCGGCTTCCTCCAGAGAGTTTCGCAGTAGCATGCCCCAGGATTCCAATGCATCTGGAGAGGACTCTGCTGCATAGGCTAGGAAGGAGGCGCTCAGTACGTCAGCACGCTCAGATGCTTCTTGCATCCAGCTCCGTAGCTCCACGCAGCTCTTCAGCGCCTTGGAAATCTCCCGTCCATCCTTAGAAGCCCAGATAGTCTCCATATATATTATATAGCTGCTGCAATGCCATTTTTTAGGGGGTTGCAAGGGACAGTGACCGACTTGACACACAAAGCTGGGCTAAGCTGGGCGTCTTCAGCAGTCAACTCGAGGATCGCCCCGGGAGCCAAGGCGGCTTCTGTGGCCGCCTGGGCGGCGCGGCGCGCCGCGGCGCCCCGAATTCCCCGAGGCTTGTCGGCCTCTTTGGGTACCGACGCCGGCTGGGGCTCTGGCTGCAACTCTGGCTGATCCTGAAGGGCTTCATTTTATGGAGTATCCGGGGCTCCCTTCAAGAGCCACAAAAAGTAAAAAGCAGGATCCCCGAGATTGAACCAAGGATCCTTCACGGTGACACAGAGTGACCCAAGTGACTGCGGGGCTTTCAGGTCACGGTAACCGGAGGCCAACTTCGAGGGTATGGCGGCCTTTCCAGAAATGGTGAAGCGCTGGCAGAGTGTCCTCGCCTTGGCTCTGTAGCGGCTTTAACAAGACAAAGTACCCTTGTTGTTTGGTGTTTTGACAAAGAGTTCGAACGGCTGAAAGGGTGCTAGCCGAAAGCTTACAGCATAAGCCCTTTGGAATTTTGGAACCCGTGCAAACCCAACAGAAACCTAAATGACTTTGGCACTGCTTCGGGGGCCAAGTAGCCTCCTCTTCCCCACCGAGCCCAGCATCTGCCAGGAATGGAGCCAAGACTTCTGGGACATCCTCACGGAACTAAAGGGTGGCTTTAAGGTTTAAATCTGGGTTTAGGAAGGTTTAGAGGTAAACATTTCGGAATTTAAAAACAGGATTGGTCCAAACAGATCCCCAAATCCTCAACCCTCAAGCATTATTAACCCTTAACCTCAAATCCTAAACCCTTCAGTCCTCCGCATCAGCCTCCGCCAGCGCTTTGGCGAGGAAGCTCCGGACGGTTGCATCGAGATCTGCTATGGGCTTCGCGGAGAGTAGGGCATCGAGATCCATGGCGGAGCTCCCTTTAGGATTTGTGTAGGGTTAGAGTTGGGTTTCTGTTCGGGTCTGGGGTTTGGGGGAACCGGAGAATGAGTTAGTAGCTGCACGAAATCCTGCAGCGGCATTACCTTTAGCACCCTTGAACTAGGGGCATTGCATTCTGCCATCTTCCCGATTACAGAGTTGTGCAACAACTACCGCATGCATAACGTAAGTTAGGCCAGAGCTATGGAGCATAATATAGCTAAAGTGCGGAGCCCTAAGGAATACTACTGGTGATTCAGGCTTCCAGGCATCTATGCCGGAAGTCTTGCAAGGTTCGCTGTGAGCCTCAATCTCGAGTGTACATGGCAGAGTCCTCCCGCGAAAAAAACATGCCCAAAGCTACGAAGTGTGCCCAGGTTCTGTCCTAGACACAAAGACTCCTCGTAGCACAGGAACACTGCATGGATAAATCATGCATTTCTTACCTTCGTTTAGACCCATCCAGAGGGAGTTTCCGGGTCCAATCGCTTAGGCTCTAAAGTCTGGGATTTAAGTTTTAGGATTCAGGAGTTTGGAGAACGAGGAGGCAGACCACCATACAAGATCACGCAGCACGCAGCAAAAAAAGCCAGCGCGTTTTACTGGGAAGCTTCATCTGACGAACCCTAAACCCTGAGGGCAGGGGCTGGAATGGCCCGGAAATTCCGCAAGATCGGATCTGTCTGGAGAGGTTCGATGCGAACCTGGCGGTAAAGTTGAGACTTCGGGGCTTCCACTTTATAGGCTAGGCTTCAGGGTTTAGAGTTTAGGGTCAGGTTTAGCTTGGCTTAAGGGTTTAGGACTTAGGGCTAAAAGGGGCTGTAGGGCTTACCCTAAACCCGAAATCCTAAGCTCTAAACCCGAAATCCCAAGTCCTAAACCCGAAACCCTAAACCCTATAAGCCCTACTGAAAAGGTCGCAGCGAGTTCGCAGTCGCATTTGCTCTCTGCTCATGCTTCGGTCTTGGGCCTCGGGCCTCCGACACTTCTTAGACCCACACGACAAGAGGCTGAGTAAGGTACTAAATACATGACTTCACAAAACGATGCTTGTGTATTTATGTGCCCATAAATACATGTGTGTCTGCATATACTTATATATAAATACTGATTTATCTGTTTATTTATCTATATTTGTATCTGTATATACAGACACATATACATCTATACAAGCTTCTGTACATGTATGATATATATATATATATATGTACACACACATGTAGGTATATATGCATCTATACATAGGTATATGTGAACAATATGCACCTTCTGGAAGTCTGAGCCTGGACTGTTTCCTGAGTCCTAAGCCATGTAGTGTGAGGAGCCTGCATAGGCAGAAAAGGGTTTTGGGTCCGGTTGGGCGGGTATCTAGATTGGTATAAGTATCTCAAACGGCATACCGCGTACCCTGTGCCTTCTCTGCTACCCCATTGCATGAATCTACCAAAAATGGCAAACTTTCAAGTTTCAAGCTCTGGGTTAAAGGTTTAGGACTTAGGGCACATCCTCCACTGCAACAAACTTTCAAGTCTAAACCTTACTGTATGAGAATGCACCAACCAAAACTACATCCTCAACTCTACCCGCCTCAACCCCCAGTCGCTCACAGTCCTCCTCCTCGGCCCAGACCCACATTCTGGGCGCAGCGGTAGCAAATGTCACTTGAGGATTTACAGCGTTTGGGGTTTAAGGGAGTTGCGGCAAAACGTGTGGAGAACATTGGAGAACGTTTAGGGGGTTTTGGATTGGAATGGTTACAAGAACTACTATCGCTACGAACACTCTGCTGCTGTCGAAATTCTTCTTCTTCTCGTCACGAAGCCTCTGGGTTTTGTACATGCTCCATGACACTATGCTGCTGCTACTGTTGTTGCTTCTGCTACTGCTTCGTTCAACACTGCCAATATGTTTCTCAAAAAAGACTACAGTTGCCTATACCCGCGACGACAAAAATGGTACAATGCAGGACAATAAAGTAAAGTAACCGTCATCATACCCTAAACCCTGAACCCCAAATCCAAACCCTTAGCCCGAAGAGCTGAAGCCAATACCAGATAAACTCACTATAAGCGCTGTAAGCCCTATGAACCCGCAGGAAAGCCTCAAACCGTCAACCTGCACCCTTTTCTTCCCTCAGACTACAACAGTTGGCACCGGAGTCCTTTAAGCAAAACGGGCCTCTTCAGAAAGAGCTGGATGTTCACAGCACGGTAAGAAGATCAGAAATCATGGCAGTGCAAATGGTAATCAGGAGCAGTACATAGCCATACATGTATATATATGTACACACACATGCATGTCATTCAAACGTTCACGCATACGGACATGTACTAGTCATAGGCGTGCTATTCTTGTTAGCCCGTTGACGGAACTGTATTAGAAGGCATACCTGAGAGGCCGGCATGTCGTCTGCTGGCAGCACGGAAGTCTGAAAAGGTCGCTCAGCTGGCATGCCAATCTGTGACCTGGGGTCAAGGGTTCAAGGTTCAGTGAGAAATAGGCATCACACGCACACATATATATATATATATATGGTAACCCCCCCCTGGACCAACCTCCGCCATGAATCGGATCTTGTCTGCGCTTGTGTTGCTGCGAACTGTGTTGCTGCGAATTAATATCGAAAACCCTGTAAATACCGATAAATTCTGTGTTGGTTCTTATGGTCT